TAGTTGCCGATAACTTGGTTACAAAACATGATCATCTCATATAATAAAATTTAGCATCATGCCTTGACCATATCACATCACAACATGCCCTGCAAAAACAAGTTAGACGTCCTCTACTTTACTTGTTGCAAGTTTTACGTGGCTGCTACAGGCTCAAGAACCAATCTTACCTACGCATCAAAAACCACAACGATAGTTTGTCAAGTTGGTGCTGTTTTAACCTTCGCAAGGACCGGCGTAGCCACACTCGGTTCAACTAAAGTTGGAGAAACTGACACCCGCCAGCCACCTGTGTGCAAAGCACGTCGGTAGAACCAGTCTCGCGTAAGCGTACGCGTAATGCCAGTCCAGGCCGCTTCATCCAACAATACCGCCGAACCAAAGTATGACATGCTGGTAAGCAGTATGACTTATATCGCCCACAACTCACTTGTGTTCTACTCGTGCATATAACATCAACACATAAAACCTAGGCTCGGATGCCACTGTTGGGGAACGTAGTAATTTCAAAAAAAAATCTACGCACACGCAAGATCATGGTGATGCACAGCAACGAGAGGGGAGAGTGTTGTCTACGTACCATCGTAGACCGGAAGCGGAAGCGTTAGCACAACACGGTTGATGTAGTTGTACGTCTTCACGGCCCGACCGATCAAGCACCGAAACTACGGCACCTCCGAGTTCTAGCACACGTTCAGCTCGATGACGATCCCCGGACTCCGTTCCAGCAAAGTGTCGGGGAAGAGTTCCGTCAGCATGACAGCGTGGTGACGATCTTGACGTTCTATCGTCGCAGGGCTTCGCCTAAGCACCGCTACAATATTATCGAGGATTATGGTGGAGGGGGCACCGCACATGGCTAAGAGAACGATCACGAAGATCACCTTGTGTGTCTAGAGGTGCCCCCTGCCCCCGTATATAAAGGAGCAAGGGGAAGAGGCCGGCCGGCCCTTGGGGCGCGCCAAGGAGGGGGGAGTCCTAGAAGGGGGAAGGAAAGAGAGGGAGAGGAAGAGGGAAAGAGGGGCCGCGGCCCCCTCCCCTGGTCCAATTCGGACTCCCCATGGGAGGGGGGCGCCACCTCCTGGGCTGCTGCCCTCTCTCTCCCTTCAGGCCCACTAAGGCCCAATACTTCCCCGGGGGGTTCCGGTAACCCTTCCGGCACTCCGGTTTTCTTCGAAATCACCCGAAACACTTCCGGTGTCCGAATATAGTTGTCCAATATATCGATCTTTATGTCTCGACCATTTCGAGTTTCCTCGTCATGTCCGTGATCATATCCGGGACTCCGAATAACCTTCGGTACATCAAAATATATAAACTCATAATGAAACTATCATTGTAACGTTAAGCATGCGGACCCTACGGGTTCGAGAACAATGTAGACATGACCGAGACATGTCTCCGGTCAATAACCAATAGCGGAACCTGGATGCTCATATTGGCTCCTACATATTCTACGAAGATCTTTATCGGTCAGACCGCATAACAACATACATTGTTCCCTTTGTCATCAGTATGTTACTTTCCTGAGATTCAATCGTCGGTATCTCAATACCTAGTTCAATCTCGTTATCGGCAAGTCTCTTTACTCATTCCGTAATACATCATCTTGCAACTAACTCATTAGTTGCATTGCTTGCAAGGCTTAAGTGATGTGCATTACCGAGAGGGCCCAGAGATACCTCTCCGACAATCGGAATGACAAATCCTAATCTCGAAATACGCCAACCCAACATGTACCTTTGGAGACACCTGTAGAGCACCTTTATAATCACCTAGTTACATTGTGACGTTTGGTAGCACACAAAGTGTTCCTCCGGCAAACGGGAGTTGCATAATCTCATAGTCATAGGAACATGTATAAGTCATGAAGAAAGCAATAGCAACATACTAAACGATCGGGTGCTAAGCTGATGGAATGGGTCATGTCAATCACATCATTCTCCTAATGATGTGATCCCGTTAATCAAATGACAACACATGTCTATGGTTAGAAAACATAACCATATTTGATTAACGAGCTAGTCAAGTAGAGGCATACTAGTGACGTTTAGTTTGTCTATGTATTCACACAAGCATTATGTTTCCGGTTAATACAATTCTAGCATGAATAATAAACATTTATCATGATATAAGGAAATAAATAATAACTTTATTATTGCCTCTAGGGCATATTTCCTTCAAGATCCACAGGAAGGAGCCCTTTTTCCATTGTCTACAGTAAAGTTCCATCACATGTGGTGGACCTGGTGAAGCTACCATCAAGGGGAAACTCAAAATCAACATTGTCCTTTGCTGATAATTACACCGAGTTATTTGAAGAGATTCGCGGTTCTTTGGAAGCAGAAAATCAGAAATATAAACAACTTGCTGATTGCAAATGGAGGCTAAAATCATTCCAAGCCGGTGATAAGGTGATGGTCTACCTCCGAAATGAGAGGCTGCCTTTAGGTGTTAAAGGGAAACTTAGGCAGCGAAGGTATGGACCCTTCTCTATCGTGAGGAAGATAAATGATAATGCTTATGTGATAGATCTTCCAAGCGATATGGGTATCTCCAACACTTTCAATGTTGCGGACTTGACTCTCTACCATCCAAAAGAAGCGCTCTATGAAGATAACTCGAGGGTGAGTTCCAAACAACCAGGGGAGAATGATGAGGAACAATAGATGAGGAACATGAAAATATAATCATATGTCAAATCTGTTTGGCTACTTCTAGATACTTCCGTTGTGGTCTAGTATTTCTTTGCTTTTCTTTATCCTACCTACTATTTTCTAGAGTCTTCTAGTTGTGAGTAGCTATGAGTAGAATGGTGAACCTTAAATAATGTTTCTAGAGTATTCCAGCTATAAGTAGAAGTATGTGAAGGCTTCCCAAAGCCCTATAAATAGAGGTCCTCATCTCTACTTTGTAACCAGACTATGTACCCCTACCTATAATAGAACTTGTTGTTCTTATCTAAGATCTTGGAGTAAATCTTGTGCCCTAAGAGTTCTGGATTGAACTCTTGCTGCCCTATCAACCTGCATTCGCCTCTAGAGCGATATCTAGCGCAACACGTTGAAGCTGTTCATTTAACACTTGTGCTGTACACATTGTAGTAGCAAGGTGGATTTGCTCCTCCACAACCTTTGTGCTGCTTCAGTGGGCCCCCTGATGCTCCACTGACATCAACTCCAACTCCATATATTCGTGTTTGGGGAGAAAAAAATCAGAGAGAAGGATTTATCGCGTTTTACAATACGGAGCCGCCGCCAAGCCCTAAACTCTCTTGGGAGGGCTGATCTGGAGTCCGTTCGGGGCTCCGAAGAGGGGAATCCGTCGCCATCGTCATCATCAACCTTCCTCCATCACCAATTTCATGATGCTCACCGTCGTGTGTGAGTAATTCCGCCGTAGGCTTGCTGGATCGTGATGGGTTGGATGAGGTTTATCATGTAATAGAGTTAGTTTTCTTAGGGTTTGATCCCTAGTATCCACTATGTTCTGAGATTGATGTTGCTATGACTTTGCTATGCTTAATGCTTGTCACTAGGGCCCGATTGCCATGATTTCATATCTGAACCTATTATGTTTTCATGAATATATGTGAGTTCTTGATCCTATATTACAAGTCTATAGTCACCTATTATGTGTTATGATCCGTTAACCCCGAAGTGACAATAATCGGGATCATTATCGGTGATGACCGTAGTTTGAGGAGTTCATGTATTCACTATGTGTTAATGCTTTGGTCCGGTACTCTATTAAAGGAGGCCTTAATATCCCTTAGTTTCCAATAGGACCCCGCTACCACGGGAGGGTAGGACAAAAGATGTCATGCAAGTTCTTTTCCATAAGCATGTATGACTATATTCGGAATACATGCCTACATTACATTGATGAACCGGAGCTAGTTCTGTGTCACCCTATGTTATAACTGTTGCATGATCGATCGCATCCGACATAATTCTTCATCGCCGATCTAATGCCTACGAACTTTTGATACATTGTTCTTCGCTTATTTACTTTTCCGTTGCTACTGTTACAATCACTATAAAACCAAAAATATTACTTTTGCTACCGTTACCACTACTATCATATTACTTTGCTACTAAACAATTTGCTGCAGATATTAAGTTTTCAGGTGTGGTTGAATTGACAACTCAGCTCTTAATACTTGAGAATATTCTTTGACTTCCCTTATGTCGAATCAATAAATTTGGGTTGAATACTCTATCCTCGAAAACTGTTGCAATCACCTATACTTGTGGGTTATCAGATGCCCTCTCTGACAGATGGGTCTAAATGCGGCGATTGACGGAGGTCTCGGTCACTAGCCAAAAGTGGGTGCTGCAGAAGGGGAGGTTGAATGGCATTCTGCATCGATTCTACCTTTATATACTTATGAAATATTTATTTACAAAATCAAGGAGAGAATTTTATAAACATTTATTTACACAATCATGGGCATGATTTGATAAATATTTATTTACACAATTACATTATGAACAAATAAATCACAATTTACATAATAAGAATATTACATTATGAACAAATAAATCACAATTTACATAATAAGAATATTTATACCCTATTGCAACATAGAAATACAAAAAATGTAAATGATGCCTGACACCGCCAAATCTAGCACGTTGACATACAAGTACATGATCTATCTTTAATGTGGGTTTACCAATTTCATTCCTCCCTCAACGACCGTCTAGAAAAGGAGGGTGCCCCGACATCCCACGGGAGGACACACAGCCAAGAATCCACAGCATCACCACTCTACCACACAACACTACCTCCGCTCCTGGGACGCACTCCCCTCGCTTCTCCTTTCCGCCTCCTCGACGAAAATCACTCACCACTCGATTCGAGCAGTGCCCTCATGCTGACGACTCCACCAACATAAGAACAAGAGCACCCATCCCACTCACAAGTCCCTCACATCTCCTTTCCCATACTTCCATTTGCTGCAAGAAAGCGTCTAGGTAGGCGGCGCGGTGAGCAAGATGGCGAGGGGTGGCAGCGCCGTGGCTGTCCTCTCCTTCCTCCTCGGCCTCCCGCTCCTCTCCGTCCTCGTCGCCGGCGAGGACCCGTACCGGTTCTTCACGTGGAACGTCAGCTACGGCGACATCTACCCGCTCGGCGTCAAGCAGCAGGTCTCGGTGCATTCCATTATTCTCTCTCTGTTTTTCTTCTCTCTACTGTGGCACCACATTGAGTTTTAGCATCACCCCAACCGTATGCTGAATGAATGAATAAATCTGTTGGCAGGGGATACTGATCAATGGGCAGTTCCCCGGGCCGCAGATAGAGGCCGTCACCAACGACAACCTCGTCGTCAATGTCTTCAACAAGCTCAACGAGCCATTCCTCCTCTCCTGGTACACCTCATAACTCACGAATCCCTCCATTTAGATTTCGTCTGCTCCTCTTATTACACGTAGTACCACTTGTTGGAAGTTAATTCGTGCCCGGCCATCAATTGAATACGTAATATCTTACTGCGTATGCCCCGCAAAAGAGTATGGCAATGTTTTAATGATCTTGCTACAAGTTTTAGATATCCATCATCCGTTTTAGATATCCAAGTAAATAAATGCCGTGGCTGTTGAAGTTGAACTGGATATCCTTGCCCAGTTGTAGTGCCTATGCTCCAGTGTGGTCGAGTTGGAAAAAAATTCTATGAGACCAGGTCTCACGGATTAGCAGGTGAGACCCATCCTGATGGATGACACGTGGCATTCACAAATCACAAAGCATCCATCCCACCTCCACCTGAAATCAGGAGGGGAGAGATTAGATGCTTTGTGATTTGTGAATGCCACATGTCATTTATCAGGGCAGGTCTCACCTGATTTATATGAGACCTGGTCTCATATAATTTTTTTTCGGTCGAGCTTGCCCCAGTGTACCTACCGCATGCAACTTTAAGACGTGCTTAGGGCATGTACAATGGTTCTATTCTAGGACTGCCACATAGGATAAATGATGAGGTGGAGAATAAATAAATTATAAGAAAAGGCTTGTCTTTTCTTATTTAAGAGAAGACAAGATAATCTCTTAACACAATTTGTCTCATCATGTTTTGAGGAATAGCTAGCTATTGAAGAAAAGGCTAAGAAATGGGCCATTGTAGACATGATTTTTTGTCATCTCTAAGTTACATGCAAGACTTATGATAAAATTATCTTATCAACCATTGTACATGCCCTTAGTTTAACACTATTACACCGACTAATCCACATGTCCTATCAAACTGAGTATATCGGCTATATGATTAGGCGATGTGGATAGAGTATTTAATTAATTCTATATGCAGCCTGGCCACTGCATGGAATTGGAAACTAGAGTGTCATATTCACGGCAAATCCTCAAGTACGTACGAAGTACCGCTTTTAGTCTGTCGGTGAGACAGCGCAGTTACTAATCTTCAAAGTAGGGGGTGCGTCTCATTTCATTTTAGTGGGCAATGAAAGCGCCGTGTCTGGTTCACTCGGGAGTAGTAGTAGTATAGCTGTGTAGGACAAGTGTTCCTTAATCGACGGGGCATGTCATGTCATGCTTATTTTGTGCGGCCAGAATACGGGTAGCTAGCGGCATAATAAGGACCAAGGCGCTATTTTGGAGCAGGAAAAGCGAAGGATATGCATGAAAATACTCCAAACCACCAGGCCCCTAGGAGAACATACTCCAAATCTTTGCGATCTACTAGTAGGAGCAGCAGCAATGGCACATGCACAGGGAGGCGCATCAGACAAGGGTTGAATGCGGTCGATGCAGTGCAGCAGAGTTTTAGCAAGTCTGATTGATCTAGGCAGGGCAAAGCAAAGCACCACATTGTTTTGTTTTGTTTTGTTTCGTACCCACCTCGTGATCCAAGCTAGGGCGTTGCTGGGCTGGGCTGGGTCGGGATGGAATAATGCAGGGGCAGGTACACCGCATCTCGTCTCGTGATCTAAGCGTGATCACGGTCACGGGCGGGGGTGGCTGCCATGCTTTTTACCACGAGCTTCCCTCTACCTCACGCGCGCGTCGGCCGTCGGTGACCATGTGCACTTCCGCGAGCGCGTGGGTGGGTGCCAGCCGAGCCGAGCGAGGCCACCGCCGTACCGGTGGAGCTGTAGCGGGCGGACTGCAGATTCGGCGCGCCCGTGTCCTCTTGTGCTCAAAAGTTATGACGCCTCACGGGCCCTCCCTCCTGTTTAAGCCCACCTCAAATAAATCATTTTTTTTCTTCCTCAAAGCTGACACCCTTCTCTAGCTAGGGGAAGATGGCAGTACCAGCATCCCACATTGTTTTCTTTCTTTCTTTCTTTGTAATGAAAATGTCAGTTATTTCGGGGATGAGAGCGACGCTATGGATGTGTCGCTAGATTCTACTGCTCAGGAACCATGATAGTGACCAAGTGGTCAGCTGGGTAAGCCATCAACAAAAAAAATTGCAATCAAGGAACCATGATAGTGACGGTAGGGCCTGCAGCACTGTGTTATAAGTACTACCGTATATGTTTAGAAACAGAGTTAGGTGCACCGACAAGTTTGCATGGCCGCGACGCTACGTTATAGCGCGGGGCGGAATACCTGGTCGGTCCCGCTCCCGGCCCGCACAGAGAGTCGCAAGTGTTTCGATAGTGGTCACGCAAGCCATTAGTAACACACAGATGGGCGCTCCGTCAGTAGACAGCTTAGCTTCGCTGCAAAATGTCATCACCTAAAATAAAAATACAGTAAAAGATAGTGCAAGGGTGAGCATACGTATCAATTCGTGGCGGGTGACAAGTTCACGGACCAGAGAACATGCAAGCGTCGAGGGCGCCCCCGAGCTAGATACTTTCACTGTAAACAAATATAAGACCGTTTAGATCAGTAAAGTAGTAAAGTTAATAGTAAAGATACCGCTGTTGAGTAGTCCGACCAACACTCGTGCCCATGTCGTAAGGGGCTCCAAAGTTTCAACGCAACACCGGTGGAGTATTTCAGTGCTATTAGTAGTACTACTTACACGTACAGGTAGTACTTTTTTGACTCGTTGAGGCGCCAGTTTCAGCGTGGCAAAGATGCTCCATCAGTCAAAAACACGAGAGCAATCCGATTTGCGCTTCACTGGAAATCGACTAACTTCCAGACTGTGTGTATTTGTGAGCAAACATGAGAAAGAAAAACGAATGATGCAAGTCCATCCAGAACTGATGAGGCGAGGATGGTTGCAACGCAATGCAGGAGCGGGATACAGCAGCGGCGGAACTCGTTCGAGGACGGCGTGGCCGGGACGACGTGCCCGATCCCGCCGGGCGCCAACTTCACCTACATCCTGCAGGCCAAGGACCAGATCGGCACCTACTTCTACTTCCCCTCCCTCGCCTTCCACAAGGCCGCCGGCGGCTTCGGCGGCATCCGCGTCCTCAGCCGCCCCAGGATCCCGGTCCCCTTCCCGCCACCAGCCGCCGACTACACCGTCCTCATCGGCGACTGGTACAAGACCAACCATACCGTAAGCAGTTACCTCTTGCCACGCGGCCAGAGCATTAGATTAGTATATATTCTTTCTCGCAAAAAAAAGATTAGTATATATTCTACAAAATTTAGAGTAGTAACCAATTTGTTGGCGTTCGTTCTTCTTGTGCAGGATTTGAGGTACATGCTCGACAGTGGCAAGGCACTTGGCTTCCCCGATGGCCTGCTCATCAACGGTCGCGGCTGGAACGGCTACACCTTCACCGTCCAGCCCGGTAAACACCCCGGATAATTCAGTTTCTGAATGACGTGCTGGTCTTGTGACAGAAGAAGTCAAGTCTGAAACTTGTTGCATGCAGGCATGACGTACCGTTTCCGGATCACCAACGTCGGGCTGGCCACGTCCCTCAACATCAGGTTCCAGGGGCACACCATCAAGCTGGTGGAGGTGGAGGGCTCGCACACCATGCAGACCGCCTACTCCTCCCTGGATGTGCACCTTGGCCAGTCCTACTCGGTGCTCCTCACCGCGGACCAGCCTGGCTTCGACTACTCCATCGTCGTCTCCACGCGCTTCACCACCAAGATCATATCCACCACCGCCGTCCTGCACTACGCCAACTCCGCCGGCAAGGCTCCCGGCCCTCTGCCCGGAGGCCCCACCACCCAGATCGACTGGTCGCTCAACCAGGCCCGCTCTATCAGGTACGTAGTACTATCGCTCATCAGTTTCTTTTCCTACTACAACTACAAATTCGGACTAGGACTGTAACCATGAAGGACAATGTGACCTCATTCTGCCTATACTCGCAACCAGATGGAACCTGACGGCGAGCGGGCCGAGGCCCAACCCGCAGGGCTCGTACCACTACGGCCAGGTGCCCACCACCAGGACCATCAGGCTGGCCAACTCGGCGGCCACCATCAACGGCAAGCAGAGGTACGCGGTGAACAGCGTGTCCCACGTCAACGCAGACACGCCCCTCAAGATCGCCGACTACTACAAGATCGCCGGCGTGTTCTCGGTGGGCACCATCTCCGACAGCCCGACATACGGCGGTGCCTACCTTCGGACATCGGTCATGGGGGCCGACTACAGAGGCTACGTCGAGATTGTGTTTGAGAACTCTGAGAACGAGGTGCAGTCGTGGCACATCGACGGCTACGCCTTCTGGGTTGTCGGGTATGCATTGGTTTTCCTGTCTTTGTGGCTTTGTTTACTTTGGTGATCTGTATCTGAGCGGGTCTAAATTTTTGGACGCAGAATGAATGGAGGAAAATGGTCGCCGGCAAGCAGGCAGATCTACAACTTGAGGGATGGCGTTTCACGGTACACTGTTCAGGTATGGCTCTTCTGAAAACGCTCGACAGTCAGGAAGGTTGAGTTGTGTTCCATTTGTATTTGTTCTCGGAGTTGGCGATGATGACTGAACTCATTTTACCTGTGTGCGTTTCCGTCAGGTTTACCCCAATGCATGGACTGCAATCTACATGCCCCTTGACAACGTGGGCATGTGGAACGTGAGATCGGAGACCTGGGCCAGGCAGTACCTGGGACAGCAGTTCTACCTCCGCGTCTGGACGCCGTCCACGTCGTGGCGCGACGAGTTCCCGATCCCCAAGAACGCCCTCCTGTGCGGCCGAGCTGCCGGCCGCAGAACAAGGCCTTTCTGATGAGTTAAGCCACACGGCCAACCCAAGTTTGTCATGAGAGGATGACAGCTTGGCCTGGAGCAGACATAAAAAAAAAAGTTACCATGAGAAAAAGGCTCAGAAAGAAGAGTTACCTGAAGGCAGATTGTCGTACATTTGCAATCGAACTTTTAGTGCCAGATTGATTCTTTCTACAATTGTTTTGGTGGTGGGTATAATTAGTCATGTAGTAGCATCTTAGCTTCGTTATTCCGGTCCTTAATAAATATAGACAAAAGAGTATGCTTTGTCAAGCTGATTTCGTGAGAACTTATCTGGCTGTCAGATTTTCTATAATACCCCACCAAAATGAGTACAGAGGATCCGCTCCTAGCCCTCCCCTCCTAGCCCCAGCCCCCGCCGTCGGCCCAGCCAGCGGCGGCCACCAGCCGCCTGACGTACGCCACTCCGGCTGCGTCAGCCACCTTCTCCCTGACGTACGCCACTCCGGCGGCGTCAGACACCCAAATTTTCTGACTCTGATCACTCCGATCGGTCTCGTCCACAAACATGGCCCTTTCTGACCTTCCGTTCTAAGCTGGGTAAGAATTTGAAGACAATCCAAGCTAGGTTAGAATTTGAAGACAAGATCAGGAAGAATCTGGGATCGACAGTCAAACATCTTGAAGGCACTCCACTCAAGAGAATTCTTCCTGGTAGCACAATTTTCAAGATCAAAAATCAGACTTAATCCGGATACAGTGGGTCTCATTCTACAATCATGCGACTCCATTTAGCTAGGGCGAGATCCACCTCCACAGGCACTACTCGTCTCCCACCTCCTCCCCCCGCGCCGCTGGCCACTCCAGCCGCGGCGGCCACCACCCAAGCCATCATGGCGACGACCCCGCCCCCCTCGCCAGCTGGGGGCTCTGGCCTCGGACCGGATCTTGATGCCTGGGCGTCTCCTCCATCCTCTGGTCCGTCCGCGGTTCCGGAGACGCCGCTCGCGAGCTCGCCAGATCCGGCATCGTCGCCGCGGATCCCGCCTCGGGAGCCGCTGCTGGTGGATGGGCAGCCCTTTGGCCCGGTAGATCAGGCCACTCCACCTCCCCCGCGCATTAAGTCCATCATCGTCGCTCCATCACCGGCTGTCCACCTTTCCTCTTCGGGTGCGGATGGAGGGTGGACCGAGGTCAGCCACCAAAAGAACCGGCGCCCTTCCTTTGGCCCGCTGGTTTCTGATGTGCACCGTAGGGCGCACACGTCGGACCGCCGGAGCGGCTTCAATGCGAGCGCTGGCCGCGACGCCTTCTTAAGCAAGTTCCGCGGCCGCTGTTTCAGATGTCTCAGCAAGCGCCATCGCCGCGTCGATTGTAGGGATCCAATCCATTGCATCCTCTGCGAGCAGCCGGGGCACATTGGCAAACACTGCCCGCAGAACCCTCGAAATCTGAGCAGAGGAAGTGCAAAGAGTAGGCTTGGGCCGGCACCGTCGCCGGTGCCTCTCCACGCGCGTCTCCAGTTCCCTCCGCCCGCTGCACCAACCATGCCCACCTCCGCCCAGACCATGCTGTACCACGTCGACCCGGCGCGCCGTCCCCGAGAGAGCCACTCGGTGGCCATGTCCACTGGGGTGGCTGAGCAGGCCATCTTCTTCCTGCGCCATCACGCCATCACCCTGAGCGCGGCGGATGGGGTGAACGCCACGTCCCCTATGGCCATCGGGCGGGCCCTGGAGGCGCAGCTCGCCGTCCCTGAGCACCAACTGCGGGTCACGGCCCACCACCCGGAGCACTACCTCGTCATTTTCAACCAGCCGGCGCACCACGACAACGCGGTCCGCCGCGGCTCCATCCGCGTCGACGGCGCCGTCTTCACCATCGCGCCGTGGCACGAGCACGACCACGCCTCCTTCGACACGCTCAGCCTGCATGTCCGCGTCGTCATCGAGAAGGTCCCAATGCAGTACTGGTCCCTGGAGGGGGCCGAGGAGATCTTGGGGAAGAAGGTGCGTGTTGACCGCCTCGACAGCAGGACGCTGGAGCGCGGGCACACGAAAACTTTCGCCTGCTGGCTCTGGACTCGCGACGTCGCCCACATCCCCACCAAGCACACCTTGTGGGTGTTGCCGCGCGGCGCGGGGCGAGTGGAAGAGATGCAGGGCTTCTCGCCGCCAGACCGGCGTGTGGCTCCGCCGCCGGGCGCTGTGTCCTACACGATGCTGATCCACGTCGACCGGGTGGAAGATTGGACGCCTCTCTCCCCGCGCTCCTCCCACTCTGGCCAGAGTGGGCTGCTGTCATCTGACTCCGATGGCGACGACCGGCCGTTCCCCATGGTGGCCCCGGGCACTTGGACCATGGAGGTGGAGGATGGCCAGCGTGCTGAGCGCCAGCAGCGCCTGGCTCGTGCCCCGGTGGCGGACCTGGGTTGCCGCGGCATGCCGCGGGGCGGCCCTGGCCGCGATCAAGATGGAGCGGGTGGCAGCGGTGGCGGCGGGCGCCGCTCCTGGAAGGACACCTTGCTGCGCCGCGGACGCACCCCGGCCCCGCAGACACAGCCTACTGCCCCTCGCCGGCGGAGCCGCTCCCCCCCTGCGAAACGCCGCTCCAAGGGCCCGAGAGGGCGGCGCCATGATGATAGGAGATCATCGATGGCACCGCAGCGTCGCGACGACCGGAGGCGCTCCACCCCACCACCTCCCCCTCCGCCCCCTGCACCAGCCGGCTCCGGCAAAAATGGCAAGGACCCGGTGGAGGATTTCTTCAAGCAGGCGAAGAGGCCACTAGTCGCCTCTGTGGTGGTGGACTGCATGGCGACTGACGTGCAGGCGGTGGCTGATGCTGCTGTCGTTGCACCGCTGGACTTCAACGACGGCCAGCAGGTAGAAGAGGGGGGGCCGGTGGCACAGCCAGATGCGTTCGGCCCCACGCTGTCTGGCCCTCCGCCGCCCATCGGCCAGTTCAACCGCCACGCCCCTGCTTCGGCGCGCACCATGGAGCTCCAGCTGGGCGCGGTGACAAGCCGCGTCTGTCAGCTGGAGATCACTGAAGCTGAAGCTGATGAAAGCACCGAGCCGCGCCGCCTCTTCCGCAAGACCCAGGCCCCGCTCGTTGCTTCATCGCCGACACGCAGGCCATCGGCTCCTCCAAAGTCCCGTGCTGAGTCGGTGCCTTCCCGCCAGAGCGCACGTCAGGCAGCCCTCGCGTCATCGGTGCCGGTGGCGCAGCGTGCTTCCCTGCTCATTGTCAAGGAGCTGGGGCTGCTGGGACCAAAGCAGAAGATGTCACCAGAGGTGGCTGAGGCACTGATCCGGCGTTTCGATGAGCCCCTGACAGACAACGGCATTGCTGTCATTGCCAAGCTCACGCATCTGGACGTAAGTGCTTTGCGTGTCGCAGCTGCCATGGCTGGACCTGAAGGAGCTGCCGAGGAGGCCGTAGTTTAGATATGTTAGTTCTTCATATGTATTCTCTCCGGTGGCGACCGGCTTTACGCCGGTGTGAGTTAGGTCTGTCCTCGTCGAGTTGTAGCTTGTGGTTAGTTTGTCGCCGGCGTATCTTGGGAGCTATTGGTGGTCGCCGGCGATCCCCTGTTATGTTGGCTGTGTTCTGCTTGGGCCCGAGGCCATTTAGTTTATTTAGTCATCGGAGATCATGTTTGTTTCCCCATGAGTAACATGCTTAGCCCGATCATGTGCTGGAACGTCCGCGGCCTAAACAACCCGGCGAAGCGAGCATCGGTTTCTGAGATGGCCACCACACACAAAGAGGCAATCCTCTGCCTACAAGAAACTAAAATTGAGGTCTGGACACCCAACCTAGTGCGTGAGATAGGAGGTGCCCTGCTGCAAGACTGCATAGCTCTGCCGGCGATCGGCACCTGCGGCGGAGCGGCAATTCTCTGGAACAGAGATGTAGTTTCAGTAGACTCCCATGCCATCGGCATCTTTGCGATCATGGCTAAGGTCAAATGGCACGGGCAGCAGGAAGGTTTTTGGCTTTCCTCTGTCTACGGACCTGCTGACGATGCAAGAAAGGAGGCCTTCCTCCTCGAGCTCTCCCGTACTGCACCACCAACCCCAGAGCCATGGCTGATAAATGGGGATTTCAACCTCATCTATGAAGCCCGCGACAAGAACAATCTAAACCTCAACCGACGACTAATGGGTAGATTTAGATCGGCGATCGACCACGCGAGACTGAAGGAAATAAAATGCAAAAACAGACGCTACACTTGGAGCAATGAACGTGATGATCCAACTCTTGTTAGTATAGACAAGTTTTTCTGCAACCAAGCATGGGAGTCACTCTTCCCCTCCTTCTCGCTAGTAGCTGCATCCACTGCAACTTCAGACCACTGCCCCCTGATTTTAGCCGACGCCAGTGCCCCGCCACGCCGAGCAAATTTTAAATTTGAAAATTTCTGGCCCAAGTTCCCGCGGTTCATGGAGACAGTGGAGAGGGCCTGTAACAGGCCGGTTCAGACCTCCTGTGCATTCCTGCGCCTGCACGCTAAGCTTGCGCGCACGGCTCGGGCACTGAAGACCTGGAGCAAGACTCTCTTCAGCGACGCCAAGCTCCAGTTCCACATCGCGGCAGAGATCGTCCCTCGTTTAGAGGTGGCCCAGGAAACACGTCGACTGACAATGGCTGAAGCTAATCTTCGCAAATCGCTGAAGCTCCGTATGCTAGGACTGGCGGTGATCGACCGTGCAAGGAAACGACAGGCATCGCGCCTAACTTGGCTCCGGTTGGGCGACGCGGGCACAAAATTCTTCCATGCAAAGATGAGATCGCGACGCCGAAGAAACTTCATACACAGCATCCAGGTGGCTGGTGAGATCGCCACGGCGCACGAAGACAAGCAGAGGATGATTCATCAGCATTT